AACTGGGATGCCAGTTCTATCATCTTTATCCTTAACAGCTGGTGGAACCTGATGTTCTGCTGCTCAGTGCTGAAAACGGGTGGTAGGAGAAAGCAGCCAGTTTTGATCCAGGCAAGAGCAGAGATGATGTTAGGAGGAAGGAAACGCTCAAAAGATGCTAACCAGCCCTATCTTGAGGTTTCTTTGCGAGGGCTAGTGCTTGTGTCTTTATGTTCCTCACATAGTAATCTTGACTGAAGCAGCTACTCTGTAATTATTGTTTTTGTTAACTGGGGGGGGGGGGGGCAAGTCTTCGCACAGAGGTGCACCTGTGTTCATTGTAGTTGTGTCTAGGACTGAAGCGGGGCTGCAGCATGTCTGCCTATGCAGAACTTTACACCAGTCAGGATGGTGCTTTTTTGTGAAGATGGAACTCTCTTTAAGATTACTCAAGGTGTTCACTACCCTTAAGTACCTGAAACCACAGTTTTCCATTTCTTACTATGATTGCTGTACACTGAGGTAGATAACTGCTGACCTGGTAGGAAATCTAGGATTCCTTGCCACTAACAAGCATCCTTCCATAAAAACTACTGGTTGCAAGTGGCAAATGAAAGTACTGATTTAGTTGCTGTTCATTTGCTCTTACCAAGTCTTCCTCTATTTCAGCGTCTGAAAAAGAAAAGCAGCTCCTCAGTATCTGCAGGGGGTCAGGGCAACCTTGTTGCTTTTTATTTGGAAGCACAGTTCAAAGGAGTTGTATGTGGTGAAAATTGGCCAGGTGAGCCTAAAATGAGGGCATCCTGTTCTCTTGTTAGCTGTTTAAAAATCAAAATGAAGGCTTGGCTTAACATAAAAAATCAGCTGCTGTGATACATCTTTAATCACTGTGCTGTCTTTTCTGTGAGTGAATGACAGAGATTCTGGTGTTGGCATTGTCTTTATTCTGGAATTATACACATCAGGTTTATCTTTGCTAATAACTGGAGCAGGGAGGAGGGGAGAACAGGTCTTACTGTGTGCTATAATGATTAAAACAAATCCCACTACTGGCAAAGTGGAGATCTCCACATAGTCTTCTAAAAAAGCGATGACCTTATATTTATTTTGGGGTTTTTTAGGGGTTGGTTTATTTTCCCTCATGTGAAGACAGTGAAGTCTTAATGCCAGATAATTGTGTGTTGGGTCTTCTATTAATTCTTGAGACACTGAGGTTTTTTCAAGTGTCTTGAACCGTACCCCCACCACTTGAATGCTGTTCACTCTTCGTGAGTTTTTCTCCACAGTTATGACTTTCAGAGAAGATTCTTTCCTGATCCCAGAAGGTGATGTGTTAAAGACTTTAAAAAAAAAACCAACAACAAAACAACAAAATAAACAACTATCCAAACAAAGTGTCCCACAAACTAAACAAAAAAACCCAAATACTGTCTTGTAACAACATAAGAATTAGCACTGTTGGAATTTGTTTGAATTCTAATAGGAAAATAGGGATATAACAGTGGTAAAATAGGTATAGACAGAAGACAGTATAACTAGTATCTGAGTTGAACTGAGGAACTGCTATGAATTTTGTAGTCTCTTTGAAGATGAGAAATGATAGATTTATGGTTTCTACTAATTGCAGTGATGCGTGCTTGCAGATGACACCAAGTTGGGTGGAAGTGTTGATCTGCTTGAGGGTAGGAAGGATCTACAGAGGGACCTGGCCGGGGTGGATCCATGGGTTGGGGCCAACTGGGTGAGGTTCAACAAGGCCAAGGGCCGGGTCCTGCCCTGGGGTCACAACCACCCCACACAACGCTCCAGGCGTGGGGCAGAGGGGCTGGAAAGCTGCCTGGCAGAAAAGGCCCTGGGGGTGTTGGTCGAGAGGTGGCTGAATATGAGCCAGCAGGGTGCCCAGGTGGCCAAGAGGGCCAGCGGCATCCTGGCTTGTATCAGGAGTGGTGTGGCCAGCAGGAGCAGGGCAGGGACCGTGCCCCTGTGCTGGGCACTGGGGGGGCCGCCCCTCGAGTGCTGGGGTCAGGGAGCCGGGGGGGTCGGGCTCTGCTCCCAGGGAAGGGGCGATGGGACGAGGGGCAGCGGCCTCAAGTTGTGCCAGGGCAGGGTGAGGTTGGCCATGGGGAACAATTCCTTCCCCTTGGGGCTGTCAGGGGCTGGAAGGGGCTGCCCATGCTTGAGTCCCCATCCCTGGGGGGATTTAAAAGACGGTTAGATGTGGTGCCTGGGGACAGGGTTTAGTGGTGGACTTGGCAGTATTATGTTTGTGGTTGCACTTGATGATCTTAAGGGTCTTGTCCAACCTGAATGATTCTGTGATTCTCTCAATTTATAAATGAATGCAAATGCGATATGGGAGATAAATGAAGAGCAAAGCCAGTGCTCTTGCCCCCGTGGAGGGGTTTGGGCTACAGTGGAGAAAACAAAGGAGGTGAGGGCCTGAGGAGATAAAGCCCTCCTCAGAAGTTTGGCTACAGATCCCTTTCATCTGCTGTCTGCATCGGGCTGCAAATGTCTGAGAAGAGGGAGAATCGAGGTCAAGGGAAGCGGGCTGTGGGGGATGGCTGGGCAGCCGTGCTGCGGGCAGGGCTGTCTGGGCTCGTCTGGGGCTAGACAGAAAACAGTTGTTAACGCTGTAACTTGTAAAGCCCTGGATTTTGTGCTGCAACGTGGAGTAGAATTACATCATCTGCTGGGACAGCAGGACGGGAAGGTGTGCGTGCTGGTGGGAGGGATGGAGCCGGAGGCGCGGAGGTTACATCAGCCAGCGGCGGGC